CATGTAAACAGGGAGGGGGGAAAAGGGTGGGAAAATACTCGCCTCCTGTCCTTAATTATTAAAATTAGGATGGGCGGGACTTCCGGTCCAACGGAGCGGTCGCATGCTGTGAGAGCTCCGTGATCGGATAAGCCTAAACAGTGACGAAAAAAAAGCAGCAAACAGCCTGCACCACTCCAAAAAAGATACCAGAGGTAATGAGAACACCCCCCCCAACCCCAACATGGCACCTCCAAAAGCCCAACGAGCATCAGATTTCTTCCGACAAGGGAAGAAAGACCGGCTTCGTTCCGAACAAGATAGTGGCGGCTCCCACTCACCTACGCAATAGATTACACTATTACAGCACAAAGGAAGCTATACTTACAGAGCAAAGGAAGGCCTCCGAGATGCAACCCACCTACGAGGAGATATCCCTATATGCTGACCTGTCTCCGACGAAGATGTTCAGGATACGGGACTTCATCAACGTCACAAAATGTCTCAGAAATCACAAAGTGCCCTACAGATGGGGCTTTCCCACAAAACTCTTTATATGGCGGAATGGATCTCTCACCAAAGTTGAAGATCCGCCCAAGGGAATGGAGACACTCAAATCATGGGGATTGTCCCACGATGACAACGCAACCACCTCTCCGGCCCCACTACGGAAAGTGACCACAAGCTGGACAAAAGCCTAGCAAATGACGCCACCAAGTAGTTGAAGCTACCATTATTGCCCACTCAGGCGAGTTTTAGCTGAATCTCCCAAAGACCGATGTCCATGCTATGGGACTGTGGTGACAAAAAAGGGGTTTTCATCTGCATGTGAGTACAATTTAGGTCCTCGCCCTAATAAGCCCAGCCAAAGTGACACTATCTCTCCCACCATTCCATGCATCGGACTTATTGCCCCACTCGTGAGCCAAAAACTTGTCTGAAGGAGAGACTTGAATGGACTTAAAATGGCAATAGGTGAAGGAACTCTCCGCCCATGATCCACACCTTAATGTGCCCCACAAGGTATAAGTTAGGCGCACAAGCTGGCCTAGAATTACGATTTCGGCCTTGTCGACACCAACCTTTACCAATTCTCCCAATGGGCTCCTGTAAGGGCAAGGGCCACCCCTCCTCTTTCTCATCCCTTATATGTGGTTGGGCCACGAAAGGCGTAAAGGCCCCACCGAATGTTGGCGAACCCCCCCCGTAACTCTCTCATGACACCACTCGCCGCTGTAGCCCCCTCTCAGAGCAGTAGAGGGTGCACGCTCGGCGGTGGGATCCTCCACATAATGCTTTATAGCTATTTGCTTTGTATATACTTTGTTTATGTTATCTATTTCTGTTACACTTGTTGTAAGTTGTGTTATATCCCATGCCCCAGACCCACCCTTCAGATGCTCCCTTCCTACCACAAAATTCAAACTAAGCCTTATTGCACAGATAGGTCAGGGTCCCCAGTCTCCCACCCAAGATCCTCACTCCTGGGAGAAAAACTGTCGGCACTCCTCCACTTCCATGGCCTACATGATACTTGGCGGGCACTTTACCCAGCCTCTAGGGACTATACCTTTTACTCTAGGGTCCATGACCAGTACTCCCGCATAGACATGTGCCTGGTAGATGCTAAAGCCCTGGATACCCTAGCGGAGGTCGATATTGCCCTGATAACTTGGTCGGACCATGCCCCCTCATATCATCATTCACCATACTACACCCAGTCCGAGGGCGGGGCCAGTGGAGACTCAATGAGTCCCTCATAGACAATCCTGAGAGGGCCTCTGAGATCAGGAGATCCCTAACACACTACTTTGTGGACAATCAATACACTGACACAAACATCACCACGACATGGCTAGCCCATAAGGCAGTCATGCGAGGCGCACTCATACAAATGGGGGCGAAATTGAAGCGCCAACTCTCTGAAAAAAGTGACTCCTTACTGAAAGATCTAAAACTGGCGGAAACACAACACAAAGCCTCACCCACTGAACCCCATAGACTAAAGGTTCACAAAATTAGGACCACATTAGAAGCACTACAAATGCAACAAGTCGAACGGGCCATCAGAAAAATGAAAACAACCTACTACAGGCAGGGGAACAGGGCAGGTAAACTACTGGCCTCTCAGCTTAATGAAAGAATCTCCCAGGTAAAAATCCCCTATGTCAGGGATGGTCATGGAACTAAAGTTATGTACCCCAAAGCGATTGTAGACGAATTTGCTGCCCTTTATGCAAAACTGTACAACCTCTCCGGGGATCCCACCCAGCACCAACCCACCCCTCAGAACATCACCATCTTCCTGGAGGGGATACACCTTCCCCAGCTCTCCACTTAACAGGCCACAGCACTGACAAACCCGATCCTACCCACCGAGATATCTAGGGCATTACGTGGCACCCCGAGACACAAGGCCCCAGGCCCGGACGGCTACTCCACTCACTAGGGTTTTTGAGGACCTGCTACTCCCCCTTCTCACGGCACTATTCAACCACATTTTAGACACGGGGAACATGCCCCCGGAAATGTTAGAAGCCACAATTGTCACGCTTCCCAAACCAGGCAAACCCACAGACTCCTGCGTGAACTACCGCTCGATTTCACTTCTTAATGCCGACACCAAGTTATTCGCCAAGGTCCTGGCGAATAGAATCCGTCCCCTACTATGTCAACTTGTCTCACCTGAGCAGTCGGGTTTTGTTCCCGGAAGCCAGGTAGATGACAACACCAGACGGGCCCTGGACATAATGGAACTCATGAACGTGGACATCTCACAGGGACTTATGATAGCATTGGACGCGGAGAAGGCCTTCGACAGGGTCCATTGGGGCTATATGTCGGAAGGTCCTCCGCAGGCTTAACTTCCCACCCAAATTCTTGACTGGACTCCTATCCCTATACTCAAGCCACAGTCATGAGCTCCGGATTCATCTCTAGACGCTTTGCTCTGACGAATGGCACTCGGCAGGGCTGCCCACTTTCGCCCCTCATTTTTATCCTTGCACTAAAGCCCCTAATCCGCAAAATCAAGGCAGACCCTAACATTGTGGGCATCCCCTACCCCTACCCCCTACCCAAAACTAGCAGTGTTTGCAGATGACATCCTCCTCTTTCTCACCAACCCCTCTGACTCCCTCCCAACTCTATTACACCTATTAGAAGACTACGGCCGGGTCTCTTACTATAAAAACAATGTGGCAAAGACCCAAGTGCTGTCCATGAACCTGCCCAGATCCCAACTCGAGTCTCTAAAAACACTTTACCCCTTCGAATGGAGGAAGGACAACCTCTCCTATTTAGGCACACAATTAACGCCCTCAAAACACAAGCTCATAAAGCATAATCATGGGAAATTAATGGTGGACATAGAGCGACGGTTGGAGAGCTGGGGCAACAAAAACACATCCTGGCTAGGGTGCATTAATGCCATCAAAATGGTCATCCTCCCACAGATTCTATTCCTTTTCAGAGCCCTCCCTGTTAGCCTTCCTAAGTACACCCTCCGGGCATTCCAAAGCCTCCTTAATGCACACATCTGGGGAAAAAAAACCACCAAGGGTATCACTAGCAAACAGCATGATCATGGTAGGGGGTGGCGTTGGAGTACCCCACATAACTAAATACTACCTAGCGACA